GAATAGAATAGAATAGAATAGAATAGAATAGAATAAGCCATTCCTTTCTAGCCCTGATTATGTTACCTAGTTGGGTAATGAAACATCCGCAAGAAAACAATCAAGCTCAGAGAGATTGAACAACCATTTGTCTGAAATGTTATAGGGTTTCCTGCTTGAGCAGGGGTTGGACTAGAAGATCTCCAAGGTCCCTTCCAACTCAGTTATTCTGTTACTTTGGAAATGATTAACATTCCCAGAAACCATTAATTACATTGCTTGCCTACAACCACACAAATAGAGATTTGGAAATGTGGGCCATTCCGAGCATTTACTTCATTTCTCTTCTATCTTGCAGGTATTTCAAAACTGCAGTTGCGTAGGAGTGTCAGGAGCTGGTAATTCTTCTGCAGTTCTGGGTCAATGTCCAAGGGATAATTGTGCAAAAGAATTCCCTTACTTTTTAGTGCTGTTGTCCATAGTTGCATTTATCTTCTCTGTGGGAGGAACACCTACATATATGCTTATGTTTAGGTGAAGACATTTTCATTCTTTTTTAAAGCTGGGGGGGGGGGGGGCAAACTGGGTGTAAAATTGTAGAATTTACCATAAAAATGAATGCTGGAAAAAACATTGCAAAAATCATACCCTTCCATTCATTGCTTCTTCTGCAGATTCCTTCTAGATGGCAAAAGGCAGTTTTCAGATTTCAAACATTGTATTGTATTTTATTGCCTTTTATTCATAGTAGAGGGAGTCCTCAACATATAGCCAGTTGCCTAACAATCGTTCTAAGTTATGACAGATCTGTCTTGGGGCTACTTACAACCTGGATTCAAATTTCCATCAATTCCCCCCTCCCCATGCTCATGTGACTAAACTGGGCACTCAGCAATAAGGCTGCATTTACCACCATTGTGCAGGCTCACATTTTATGACAGTTTTGCCAAAAACTGGCATTTACCTCTGGCTTTCAGTAAAACTGCACCCACAGCAAACAACTACAGTATTCGTTTAATGACTGTGTTGTTTTAACGAAGGAAGGTAAATATACGTATCCCAGGATAATGTCACAGGATCCAAGGTTTGCTTTAAGATCACCGTGATGGCTTGGCAACCATAGCTTCAGCTTAACAACAGCTGCAAAAAAAGGTCTTAAAATCAGGTTGATCACATGACCAACCTGATTTACAGCTGTCATGACTTATGAGAGCAGGCTCCATTTATAGTCATAAGCCAAGGACTATCTATAATGCATTGTAGAAATTGAACATGATCAAACATTTTACAACTGCTATTACAGTTCCCAGTGAAATTTCTACTTGTGGAAAGATACTGTTGTTACAAAAGTCAATTTTTCCAAATCAAAAGTTGTAATTTTACATCACTGCGATTTGCCCACATGTATTTATTTAATTTTTAAACTTTTTATTAATTTTCCAATGTTACAATTATATCTTTGAAAAGCAACGTGGTGTCTGAGTTACAATAATTCCAATAATACAAATATTATTAATACAAATCTCCAACTATTACAGCCAATATTTCCTCTCTCTTTTCCCTTAATACATACTGTCTCTTGTTTAAATTAGTATACTTCAGCTACTTAATAGCTTTTTTTACATTTATCAATAATTTTATATGTCTTATTAATTTTAACATTCCATCTTTTGGACCATCAATAACCTTATGAATTTTCCCAGCTTTAATTTAAATTAAACGTTTAATATTTATCATTTCCAAATTTTTAAATGACCCCAATTCCCTTTGTCACAATTCCCCTCAACATGTAGTGTTCCGGATACATATCTTATTTAATTTTTAATTCAGAGACTTGAGGATGAGTAACAGCACTGTTTAAAAATTAAAATAAAATTTTATCATTCTATAAAATGCTACAAAGATTAAAATGGCGTTAATAAATAGGACAAGAATAAAACATTTATTTATTTTTACAAGCATTTAAGGATATTTTTTTTCCAATGGACTTTAAGTCTGTGCTTAATTTGAATCAGGACTGCATTGATGTTGATTACACATCATTCCAATTGGTTTCAGCTCTGAGCCATACCAGGAAATTGTGCTGACTAGCTTGTTTTCAGATTTCATTTATTTCTTTAGTATTATTTTTATTAAGATTTTTCCCTGCTAAGAGACAAATCTAAAGAAAAAGAAACAAAAGAGAAAAAAAAAGAAAAAAAGACAGAAACAGGGAAAAATGATAGAAAAAGAAGCACAAATTTAAAAAATGTGACTTCCAACCAATATTTACAATCTTATTTTTTATCTTCCATCTAGAATTCATTCATTTCAATGTTCCTTGTCTAAGCTCACTTTTGAACTTCTCCTCATCTTTTTCAGATCAGTGTCACCAGATTTGAAATCTTTTGCTGTGGGCATCGAAGCTTTGTGTGGAAGAGTCCTTGGTAAATAGATTCCAGATTTCATTTTAGATTTTAAGCAGATAACCTTATTTATTAGCCATGAGATGCTCAATATTTTGGAGAGAAACTGAGTAACGTGGTATCCTAAGAGTAACATACTAGACACAATCCTCTGTCTTCTAAATGTATTGGATTCAATTGTCTGTCATTTTGATAACGCCAATTTCAGGAGAGCTGTTCTAAAGCTGCTGGTTGATGAAAGCACAGCCACCTCTCTCCGTTACATTTCTTTTGTGCTCATGATTGCTTAAATCTAACTCAGTTTAAGCAAAACTTTGGACCAAGGCAGTTTGGCAATTTCTTGAAAAGGCTGGGCTTGTTTGGTCCAGACTGCAAGCTGCCATTGGACAATTTCTTTGCTGCTGTCACTTCCCCTGTCAAGCTCTCTTGATTGACAGAATCCCAAGAGAATCCATTGGGAAGTGGTGGCCAAATTAATCTCCTCAGCACAGTCAAAACCCTGCTCCTTTTTTCCCCATCACACAAACAGTATAAAAAAGAGGAGGGGCTCATAACCATTTATCAATTTCATTATTTTACCATTGTCCTCCATGTTATCAGTGAGCAATAGTCACAGATGCTGACATCACTTGTAACATTTCGTGAGGGGAGCCCCCGTCTGCATTCTTTGAAAATAAATTTTAAACCGTTAATCAACCCAATGGGTTATTTTAAAAAGAAACAAGATGGCTGTCCTGATTGATCCCCGAACTGACCAGCGTTTGCATCTCAGTATTCCACCAGTAAAGTTTTTAACAAAGGAGAAAATGTATAAGGCACCAAATGAGCATCTACAAGTAGTTTTCAATTTACGATCCATTAGCAAACATTCAAAGTTATGACAGACCTTCCCAAAGGTACTTATGACCTGGTTTCAAAGTTTGGATGGCTCTCCGCCCCCCCCAACCCCCACAGTCAAGTGACTGTATGCCAGACACTCAGCAGCCCCCCTGTATTTACTTCCATTTGTAGCATCCTGCAGTCTCATGACTACATTTTATGATGTTTTGTAGAAAGTTTTGTATTTCTGCTTTACAGCAAAAATAGTCCATAATGAACAATGGGTTTCCATTACAACTATTGTGGCTACTTGACCATCCCAAAAAAGGTCATCAAAATAGGTCTGGCCATGTGGCGACTCATTTTATGACGGTCATGACTTAGAACCATAATGGTCAGACTCCATTATGGTTGTAAGTTGAGGATTGCGAAGCAGTTGAGCCAGACAGTTTATCGCCTGGTGTGGTGATAAATACAGGAGAACCTCATATTGAAAGCGGAGGGTCAAACTGTGCCTGTGGATGTCATTTGCAGTGACAGGGGGTCAGGGGTCAGAACAGGATGTCCATTCCACATAATCTATACATACAGGCCGGAAGTCTCTGCACAGTCTGGAAATATGGCTCCAACTAAAATCCTTCGCACTTCCTACTCCTCGTTTCTTTTTTAGGAGTTTAACTCGAGCCATTAGGTTCTCACTGCACATACTCTTCCACTGAGTTTTTGTTTCCCTCAAGCCTTGCTGTGTATGTCAAGTCTGTCATATTTGTCTCTCTTGTCCCTATTTCAGGGGGGCTCCCTTCCCCGATTTACTTTGGAGCTTTGATTGACCAGACCTGCTTGAAATGGGGTGTGAAAACCTGTGGTGGATCTGGGGCTTGCAGAGTCTATGATACCAAAGCATTCAGGTAAGCCTCAAAGGAAGAAAAGAACCTATGGTTTAAAATGGGTTGTGTTGTGTATTCCTCGGGTTGTGTTGGGTCTGGATGAATAAATCTGCTTTCACACCTTAAATAAGGATGAAGACCTTTCATTGAATAGTTACATGTTGACAAGTCTTTTATTTGTATTAATATAGCTTTCAGGGAGAGGAAGGAAGGAAGGAAGGAAGGAAGGAAGGAAGGAAGGAAGGAAGGAAGGAAGGAAGGAAGGAAGGAAGGAAGGAAGGAAGGAAGGAAGGAAGGAAAAGCAAAGAGAGTGTGGATAGATGGATGGATGGAAAGTAGGAAGACAGAAAGCCAATATAGGATGGATGGATGCATGGATGGATGGATAGCAGGAAGGCAGGAAGGAAGGAAGGGTCAAGGGCAAGAACATTGCAGAAAAAAAGGACAGGAAAGAAAAAGAATATGAGAGCACAATTAGTAATGGAGGAGGAGAGACTGCAGTGCAGCTCCATAATTTTAGTCTAGGTTCACACCACATACTAGACCCAAACTAAGCAGACTGCACTATGGAACTTAGCCATTGTTAACATTCTAATATGGACCTCTTCAATTGTGGTTTATTAAATAAACCATTGTTGGACAAAACATGATTGCCTGATATAGGAATACCATAGGCTCTGAATCTTCTGGCTTCTTTTGAAAGACTAAGGACATTATTGATCTCCAAAGGTGAAAATGCTAGTCCTCTTCTTCTAGGAATCATTCCTGCTTTGTTCCAACTCAGCTTGTTCTCCCTCTGTTTTTTCTCCTAGAAATGTCTACCTGGGGGTCATTGCTGCACTAAGATTTGGAAGCTTCTTTCTTTATATCATCCTTTGCACTCTAATCATAAAACGTTGCAGGCAAAGCAATCAAATGACGAAGGGCATCAAAACTGGAGAAGTACTTGACACTAAGTTGTCCAATATCAGTCCAAAGACAGAAGAGTCCTCTCACAAGGAGATGCAAGTTGCTGGAGACACTCCTTTTTGAAAAGGTCAAAGAACATTATCTTGGATGCTCATGCAGACAATGGCTGCAAATTATGGAGTTATCATGAACAAACTGTGGAGCTCCCGACCATACTACTCCTTGACCGAGCCAAAGCATTGCCAGTCGCTGGAGTTAGACATTGACTTTAGCATCAAATATTGCTTCAGAAAGAAGAATCTGGAACTCAAAGTTCAAGAAGGTCTTAGATCAGGGGTGTCAAACTGCCAGCCCGCGAGCCAGATGCGTCATGCCGAAACCACGCCCACCCCATTGCCGGCAATGGAAAAAAAGTCGTGATACATTGCAACACATCACGTGATTTGTGAGTTTGACGCCCCTGTCTTAGATCCTGAAGAAGATATCTGAGGAGCTCCAATTAATGATCCAACTGAGATTGTGATATGACTCCTGGGTGAAACATAGTGGTCTTGGGAATTCATAAACAATGGGGTTGTTAAAATTGGGCAATGCCATGTCAACTCTGGCACAAAGAAGTGGAAGTTGGAAAAGGAAGATGTGGTTTTGGAACACAAAATGCAAACTCTATGTTGCATCATAATGAAAAAAGAGAGGAGATAGTTTTCTTGATTTAAACAACTTCTCCTCGTCTTCCTCCAGTGCTAAGTTTCCATGAAACTCTTCCCTTCTGAAAAATGTTCTTCCCTTTTGGCTTGGGATGTCCAACTTGGTGACCTGTGCCAAGATCTGTGGACTTCAACTCCCAGAATTCTTCATGCTGGCTAAGGAATTCTGGGAGTTGAAGTCCACAGGTCTTAAAGTTGCTAAGGTGGGGCACCCCTGCTCTACCCAAAGTTTGCACAAGTAAAGTTTGCTGGCTAATTTAGTTCCTAGAGACAATCACTGTGCAAATTGCTGGCTATTGCAGTGTGGAGTATGCATGTGGTTGTGAAGGTGCCACAACAGGAGATGACACTAAAAGTCATGCCTTTCTCTCAAGAGATAATGACTGCCACATCCAGCAAATAATCTTAGTTAACTGAACTCTGGTTTAATTAAATTAACCCAATATTCTGTGTTTGTTTATTTGACTGAACTGTAAGCTAAATTTTCCAGATTGGCTAGATTCACATAACAAAATAATCCATAAACTAACCACAAGACATTTTGGACTAGAGCACTGTGTAAATACAGGCTTGAAAAGACCAATTCTTATGTTTTTGGTTTCTATCACTTCATTGTTTGGACTTTTTTTTAATGAGTTTACAGCTGTTTTCACCTTTTTCAGTTAAGTAAGTTGGAGAGACTTCAGCTGTGTTTACACAACACACTGATCCATAGTTTACAAAGCATTTTAATTCCAGTCTGCCCTACAGAAATGATTGTGTAAATTATAAACTAACCTCCTGTGGTTAGTTTATAATTTGGTTTTCACAGAATAGCTTTCACACAACAGCTTGTGGTTTTCACACAGTAGTTTGTGGTTAATATGAACCCTGCCACAGAGAGAAGAAAGATTTGGGGAAACTATTTGTACCCAGGGGGGGGGGGGGAATTGAGATTCCAAGATGGCGGTGATTTCAACATCCTTTGCTAATGGATCTGTTGCAAAAACTAATGAAGAACTTCTCAAGAGAATAATTTTAACCAGCTGATTTTCTGGTTTGACTCTATTTTTTCCCCCTGACATTTTTAGCAGCATTAATGTTGTGTCATTACAGTGATGAGAAATCATACCTTTTTTTTTTTTTAAAAAAAGGAAATTAGCTCACACCATCTAATTGTGCATTGTGGGAATGGCTCTGCTTTTTCCTCCTTCCATCAAGAAATACTTTCATTTCCTGATCTATTACTGCAACGTGCTAAAAGCCCTCAAAATAGAGTAGCTTTCAAATAAAAGAAGGGTCACCTTTCAAGGATTTTTATTTCTTCCTTGTTAATTGGGGAGGGTGGGCAGGAACAGGAAGTGCCTCTTTTTTTTTAGGACAAAAATAATGAAAGGAATGCCCCATGATTTGACAAGATCATTTTGTAGCTTTAAAAAAAACAACAGATTTTTTTTAACATGTACGATCATGCTTAGACATGAGTTTCAAGTAGTCACCTGTTTTTGGGTTTGTTTGTTGTTGTTTTTTCAAAATAGGGCAAGATTGTTGCATTAGATCAAAATGTACTTTTGAAGGCTAGATTAGTTACTGGTTATATAACACAAAAGAGATTTTCATCACAGCACGAAATAAATTCTTGGACCAGCTTAAGGGTCTTCCTTCCTCCCTCCCTCCCTCCCTCCCTCCCTCTTTCTTTCTTTCTTTCTTTCTTTCTTTCTTTCTTTCTTTCTTTCTTTCTCTTTCTTTCTTCTTCACTTCCTTCCCCCCCCCCCTGAAAAATGCTTCCAGACATTTGACTGAAATGGTATAGGCTTTCCTGCCTGAGCAGGGGGCTGGACCAGATGACCTCCAAGGTCCCTTCCAACTTTTTATTATTATTATTATTATTATTATTATTATTATTATTATTATTATTATTATTATTATTATTATTATTATTATTATTATTATATTTTATTTATTTATTTATTTATTTATTTATTTATTTATTTATAGAGAGGAACCACATAATTGAGGCAAATATCACAGGTATCTAGGAATCTTGCAATATTTGAGTGTTGGGATTAAATTACCCTTTTGTGTCAGTTCCAGAATTCAACGTTTTGTTTTACTTCAGTGCAACCAATAATCAAGTGTCATTTTTTTTTTTATAAGGCCACACATAAGGCCTTTACTTTTCAAAGTTCTGCTTTGCAAAAGGGCGGGAGAAACACATACTTTTTTTTTTCTTGGGATATTGAAGGAATATGGGGCAACTTTTCCTCTCAAAGATGACCGGAAGCAATGCTGCCATTTTTCAGCAGCTGCTACGGCCAACAATGGTTCTCAGAGTTACAAGGAACAGTTTGGTAGCTCCCTACAGTTCTTGGTCTACCACTCCGTTTGTTTTGCTAGAGGCAGGTATTCATGTCTGCATCTGAACGACACGCTGAAAGTCCGGTATCCTTTAGTTTTATCTCTTCATTCAGAGACAAGCCTTCTTGACATTCATTTTCAGCTTTCTTGGCCTCTTGTTCTCTAATATTTTTCTTCAGAAGCAGGAAAAAGATGAAACCCAGCAGAAAAGATGGCGCTCTCAAGGCAATTGTTAGACCATAGAAAGAATATCTGTGTGAGAGAAAAAAAAGTGCTTGAAAGTCAGTTATGAATTTTGGTGGCTACTTGGACTAGTCCCTACTTTTTTCTTGGCCGTGTTTTTCGGAAGTGATTGCCCTTACCACCTTCTTCCTAGGGCTGAGAGAAAATGACTGGCTAAGGTCATCCAGATGACTTCAAGCCTAAAGCAGGACTAGAACTCCCGGTCTCCCAGTTTTTAGCCTGATGCCTTAATCACTACACCAAACCGGTTCTCAAGATAAATCGTTATTTAGTAGTCGATTTGGAAAATCCCTGAGAGTTTGCTATCCATATTAATTTCCAGGGAATCGTCAGTTGGGAAATTCTATTGTCTTGCTGGAACTGATTTCATCTGAATGTGGCCACTGTGTTAATTTGGAAAGCCATTTTTTTAAAGATTTTATTGATTTTTCAATTAGAAACAATAACATAAATATGATGCAATTAATCACAATATCAACCCAAAAAAAAATAACACTACTCAATACATTCATGGAAGTGTCCGGTGCCCCCCTGCACCCCCCTCTTTCACTTTCCATACCTTCCTCCTCCTTAACCTCAACCTCTCCTCCTTCCTCCCTCTCTCCTACTTTCCTTCCTCTCTCAACCATCCCATCTGGTGCAGTTGGGGCATCCACCGGGCACCTCCTTAAAAAAGTATCACATATATAAATCCATAATACATCAGTTTATATACATATCTATTCCCTTTCCCCCCCTCCCCCCCCAGGACTTCCCAGAGCTGAACCAGGTAGTAAACACACAATAATCCCATTCTATCCAAAGCTACTCATTATTACAACAATTTGGAAAGCCATTTTGATGGCTTTCTCAGAAGCCATGGGATTGCGGTAGGACTCACCTATATTGTACTGCATCATATATCCTACAAGATCCTTTCTGACCACAGGGTTTAGTGCCCCACTTCAAGCAAGTCTTGTCAATCATTGCACCAAAGTAAACTGGGGCTGGAATTCCAGCTAGAAGACATCAGACAGGAAATACATATTAGATTGTCACTTCAGAAGCATTTTTCAGCAGTTTTCCTGAGTGGGTTGACAGCAGAAGTAGGATAAGATGTAGCCATTGTCAAGCACTAGGAAAATAAGGAGATTCAGGCAGTTCAAATGAATACAAACATTTATTGCAAGCTTAAGCTCTCTAGAAGAATCTGGCCAACTGACAGTCAAGGGAAATGAGCGGGAGATAAGAGAGACATTCAAAGTGGGCTGGACTTAGATCTCTTGCAGTGGTGCAGGGACTCGTGACTTATGACATGTTTGACCCCTCCCTCGGGCACAGCTTGGTCATCTCCTACATCCAAGTGTATATACAGGTAGTCCTCAACTTACAGCTATTCATTTAGTGACTGTTCAAAATTATCATGGCATTGAAAAAAGTGACATGGCTGTTTTTCACACTTATGACCATTGCAGCATTCCCATGGTCATGTGATCAAAATTCAGACAGTTGGTAATTGGCTCATATTTATGATGGTTGTAGTATCCCAAGGTCATGTGGTCACCCTTTACAACCTTCTGACAAGCAATGGGGAGCCAGACTTACTTAATATTTGTGTTGCTAACTTAACAACTACAGCGATTCATTTTACAAATTTATTTATTTATTTATTTATTTAATTACATTTATATCCCGCCCTTCTCCTTGCGGACTCAGGGCGGCTGACAATAGATAAAATGCTAACATGTTATACATCTAATTAAAAATCGATTAAAAAGAAATATTTAAATACGTCCAATTTAAAAGTAATTAAAACCCCTTTAAAATCCCTTAGGCCAGTCTCGCGAGCTGGAACAACCACGTCTTGAGGGCGCGGCGGAAGGAAGGGAGATCAGGGATCACCCTGATCTCTGGGGGCAGTTCGTTCCAGAGGGTGGGAGCTCCCACAGAGAAGGCCCTACCCCTTGGGGTCGCCAGCCGGCACTGTCTGGCTGACGGCACCCCGAGGAGACCCACTCTGTGGGAGCGTACAGGTCGGTGGGAGGTAATCTGTGGCAGGAGGCGGTCTCGAAGATAGCCAGGTCCGATGCCATGTATCAAGAAAGATCATAAAATGGGCTAAAATGCCCATTTTGGGCTCAGTTGTGGTCATAAGTCAAGGACTACCCTGTATTTTTGAAGACAAGATATATATACGGTGCACGCACATAAACAGCCCTTTGCAAGAACATCAAGAATTGGTTTACTTCATCAGATCAAAAGTGTTCCAAGTTTATACGTGTAAATTCTGCGAATTGTGGACCAATTGTTGGTCCCATAGAATCCACAGAGTTCCCAAACTATGGTTTTCAGTCTTTGTATCTACGGTCTTGGAAGCAATTGGGCAGGATTAAGAAACAAAATATCTTAAATATTTTTTTATATCTTAAAATCTGCAGCAGTTTGGCTCTTTTCTTATATGGCAGAACCCATTTCCCTTCTCAAGGCCCACCTCAGTTCTGCAAAGAATACAAAGCAACTCAAATTTGTCCCTAGGGTTGAGGGCATTTTTTAAAAATGCAACTCCAATTGCAAATCAAAATCAGTTTTTGTTTTTGCAAGCTATACAGTATTTGCAGCGTTGACACTAGATATGTTTTCCTCAGGTCTGCACAATCTGGCTTCTGCAATAGATCATCTTTACATAAGGAGCTTTCACTAGATAGAGAACCTCTGCCCTTCCACCTGATAGGAGAACATGATATATGATAGCAAATTTAGGGAGGGAACATGCTGATAAATTAATTGCTCAGAGGAAGAGAATTTAAGATCTTAACAGCAACTTAGTTATGCCTGTGCTGACATTTTGTAACAATAAATTACTTTTAGGAAAATCAATGCCTGGAAGTTCTTTGAAGTGTTTCATTAGCTGCAACCATAACATCATGCTAAGATCACAAATCCTTTCCAAATGACCTGGGGTTCTGAACTCCGTCCACTGCCTCTAACCTTGAGAGGAGCTGGTAAAGATTCAGGGGAAGAAGTTTGGAGAAACACAAAAACTGCTTTAAAAAAGACTTTTGAAACCTATAAAAGGCAGGCTGATAAAAAGAACATTCCAAGTTGGGGAAAAGGTTTATTTGTCAACTAAATATCTATGCCTCAAATTGCCCAGCAAGAAATTGGGACCAAAATTCTTGGGGCCTTTCCCCATAGTAAGGATCATCAACCTGGTCACAGTAGAACTAAAACTCCCTAGACTTTTAGGGAAAATTCACCCAGTTTTCCATTGTAGCTTGTTGAAGCCTTATCGGGACTCCACTTTAAGACCTCCTCCGAAGAAGGCACCTAGGCCCCTCGTAGTTGCGGGACAGACCCACTATGAAGTAAAATGTATTCTTGACTCTAGAATTTTTAAAGGGAAATTGCAGTACCCAGTACAATGGAAGGGATACCTGTTGTCTGAAGCCACCTGGGTGAAATCCAGTGAAGTGAAAGCTGACAGATTGGTCAAAAGGTTTCATGTGAAACATCCCAACAAACCGAAAACGAGTCATTAACATATGCTTTTGTTTACATTACAGGATCTGTCTTTCTTGTAAGGGGGGCCAGATGTCAATGCTGCAAATACTGTATATTCTTGCTTTGACAAAATATGCAGAACTGTCTGGTATTTTTAAAGTTAATTCAGATGATGGTAGGGGGGGAGGAGAAAGAAGAGAACCTCTGCCCTTCCACCTGATAGGAGAACATGACATATGACAGCAAATTTAGGGAGGGAACATGCTGATAAATTAATTGCTCAGAGGAAGAGAATTTTAGATCTTAGCATCAACTTAGTTATGCCTGTGCCGACATTTTGTAACAATAAATTACTTTTAGGAAAATCAATGCCTGGAAGTTCTTTGAAGTGTTTCATTAGCCGGAACCATAACATCGACCTTCATGGTCCAAAACACACTGGTTAAAAAAAAGTTCACCTCAACATCCCCCAGTTGTAGCAATTGAGGAAAACCCTTCCCTGATAGCAAACATTCTTGCAAATTGTGTACATCTTGTATAGAAGATTTTTCTGAATATACATTTGGTGCTGATTCTTGTATCATGGATTGTTGATATTGTTCCCACAACTCCAGAAAGGAACAGCTTGTATTTTCATGCCATGCTACTGATTTTTTCAGAGGCATAAAGTTAATAGTTGTAATGTGTAAATTGTAGTTGGTAGGAAACTGATGCCGATTAATTTGACTCAAAAACCTCATCTGTTAAGGTATTTCTTATGAACACAGCATGCCTTTCTTTTATAATTATTTGCCTGTACTCTGAATAACATGAGTATCTCAGAAACCCTTGAAGAAAGTGTCCAATAATATTCCATGTAATCAGAATGGTCTTTCTTACCCAATGATCTTACCACAAGCATCAGAAGACC